ATATAATTATTTAGTACCACTGCAGTGGTATTTTTTACTTTTTATTGCACAATTCCAAACAACTCTTCTGATACAAATTTGTTATAAATTCTTGCAGGATGGAACGTTAGTAGTCATCTCTTGACTGTTAACGGTCCTATCTAGGTACCACACCATCAACAAATGTAGATCTTCATTAGTATATTTCGCAGTCTTATTCTAGCGAAACGATTGCTTCATAAAACTCCACAAATACTGGCACCAATTGTATTATGCAAACTCATTGAACTTATCGTCCTTCAGGTACACCAACACCGAAGATTCAACAACATTTTTGGTGCTTGGTTTGAACAGGTATCCAAAACAAAACATGACAAACAAACATATCCACAACTTGCCATCCTGAATGTTTGGTAACAGCTCCTTCAAAGTCCACAGCTTGTTCCAATCGGGGTCTTCTCCGTCCATACCAGGGAGTTCATCACGCAACTCTTTGCACCTGTCCCAATCAAATATCATCACCTTTTTATACCGTGAGGAAGTCCATACACTCGATGAACATCATCAACTGTAAATGGCATTGCAGTGCCATCATCCATGATTATGGACATTGTATCCGCATTGAACTTGTTTACCAACCAATTCAAAAGGGGCTTGTCAAACCTCTTCATTTGCAACTCAAAAACAACACCCAAACCCAGATTCTTCAGTATAGCCCTTCTCTCGTCTGATACTCCATCATTCACGACTTCAATTATCGTGTTAGGGCTGCACTTCTTGCCGGATACATCATCACTACGTTTCCTCTTGCTCCTACCTTGTTCTCCCTTTTCCCTGTTCTCACGACGTTGTTTCTTGCTGGTACCCGCACTAGAGGAAGGAGCCTGATTTACCCAAACTTCCACCTGCCTGGAAATATAAGTTGCAGGCTTCTTGCCAGCAGCCTTCTGAACCCCTAGGATTCTGGCCTGCAGGTTTATTGTCCGCTGGCACCTCAGGACCCATTCTCTTCGTCCTTGCCATTCCTGGTTTCATTAGAAAATAAGTCAATACTAAGAACTAAACATAACTACCAATGTAGTTGTACTTTAAACAACCATAACGATTTTGTAAATACCACTACAGTGATAGCCCTACACACAAATGCATTACAACGAACTACCACTGTAGTGATATTTCTACCACTCCAGCGATAAATCTACCACTGCATGTGAAAGATCTACCAATGCAGCGAAAGACACAATATGTCACTACACTAATAGATCTACCACTGCAACGATAGACACACTATGTCACTGCAATGATAGATCTACGACTGCATTGATCGATCTACCACTAAAGTGATAGTCTGATAGATATACCACTGCATGAATAAATAAACACAGTATGCCACTACAACGATATATCTACAGCTGTAGTTCAACTGAAGGAGACGAATAAATATATGAATTGTGTTCGTTCAAGGCGAATTGCCCCACCTTAGCAAAATCCTGCCGATGCCATTATCGGCTTATATAAGCTCTGTCGCAGATAGACGACCGTCGAAGGGAATCGATCAAGCACAACATAAAATAAAATAAAAGATAAACCAGCTTCGAAGTTGAGGGTTCGGGATGGAAGACGGAGGACATCCGACGGGAGTGATGGCCTGACAGATATTGTTAAGGAGAGGATGGGTTACGGCGGGGGATAGTGATTAGATGAGTCGGCGACGAAGGGTTACAGCCGAGTTCTGAACAGAGAGAGAGAGAGAGAGAGAGAGAGAGAATGAAACAAAACAGTGACATAAAAAAGGTAAAGGGGAATGAATTTTAAATTATGCGTGTGAACCAATTCTTTCCCTTTCCTATGTATGTTGGGATAATTAATTACTGAATTAATTACAAATTACCAACTGTTTACTTCCTACCATTAGATTAAGACTATTGAGGAATGGACGATAAAGAAGATGGGTGTCGAAAATCAGACCCCCTTTAGGGGCAGTCACGCTAACCGGTCTCGGGGAAATAGAAAGAAGGGGAATGGGAGTAGAAACACCACTTTCCCCATCCAGCTAAATTGCCCATTCTCATTCATAATTAATATGACAGTTAAGACTATCCCCATTCATATTTATTAAAACTGCCATTTATACTTGCCTAATAATTAAGTGTAAAGCGGACCAATCAAAAGGAGGGTGTCGAAAAGCAGACCCCTTTAGGGGTTAGCATAGTTTCCGACCCCATCCTACATTGATGTATGAGCATCAGAGCATGGATAGATAGTTAGTGATAATTACTAAGAACATTCACATCAAGTCATTATATTGAATGCAATCAGGGTGGAGCTAAGTGGTTGGGGGCTTTGGAATTAGTATATTATCACTAACATTCTTCGTTGTTATGTGGCAATGAGCATGGATAGATAGGTTCGGGGTAGGAAATTCGAAATTACGTGTGAAACCTCTTCCTATTGTGGAAGTTTACATATAAACATAAAAAGGTTTTGCCTAATATAGTGCGTGTGTGCAATAGTGTTGTATGAAAGCTAGGATAGTGGAACCACATTTGTGGAGTGTTTATAACTTTTGAAGTGCTTTTATATGATACTTCTGGTTATGTTGGTCTAAACCGAAGATGAAACTTCTGAATAACAGATGTGGACAAAGCACTGTGCAAACTGTATAAATATAAAGGTGTTTAATTCGAACGAAAGTAAATGATTTGTTTTGATTTGTAATGTAATACATGAAATAAACATGTGCTAGCTCGCCTCTGGTAGGAAAACACAATTCCCTTAGCTATGCATGTATTTGTTTTGATTTGTAATGTAATACATGAAACATATACTGGCCCAAACAATTGCAAGGTATTTCGCTTCTTCTGAAGAGGCAAGCTTGGATACAACAATTCATTTGCCTCACACCTGGTTACATTGCCTACCAAATCTAGAAATAGCAGAAAATATTATTCATAAACCAAATTAGTTCGTAACCGAGACCACTATAAGAAAACAAATACATAACACAAACCAGGCAATATTTCATGATTCAGAAACGCAAATAGGAACTCAGTGGGATCCAAAACCCGAAAGCTGACATCTGAGATGTCATCGGTGTCTTCCATCTCTTTTATCAATGTGCCAGCATGGAGGACAAGTTGAAGATTGCTCAATGCCACTCGTTGATAAGAAGGATTCTTTCGTAGGTCAGAGTAGGTAATATTGTAAATAGTCCCTTCATAAAGAGTCGGCAGAAAGCGCATAACATCAACACGGAGGATAATGCCTTCAAACTGAACACCCTGGGAATACAAGAAACAAACAAAACTCAAAATAAGGATTTCATTGCCACACTTACAAATGCAACAAAGTAACTAACCTTGTCATCAGGCATGAGCATGTTCATGTGTTCTAAAGAATCCCCAGTGTTGCGTAGTATTCCCCACAAACGGAGCAGACGGACCCGAAATGGAAACATCTCGTTGTTGACATGAATAACCGAATCAGGTTCGACTGCCATTAGAGGAAGTTGAGTAAGTTTTTCATAGACCCAACCCCTGGAGTCAATACAGCTGCGTGAGCACTGGTGCGAATATAGGTTACGTGCAACCAAATTTGTAGTTGGACAGTTACAGAGGACGTCAGGGGAAGTGAACGGCTATTTACCGCCAACTAAAAAAAAAAATTTGAATTCAAATTTTGAATTTTCCCTTCCTTTCATTCTATAAATTCGGATACCATTAACATTTGACTAATTCCAACAAAAACACTTTTGTCGACGAGCCCAGTGCCTCCGTCGCCGGCCAACCTCCCGTTGTCCTCAATCGTCGGAAAACAAGTTTACTTTTTCCGGCAAGTTTTCGAGTTTTCCTGCGAAAAACACGGCGGGCCAAAAAAAATTGTGGTCGGAAGGCCGCCGAGTCGAAAAAAATTGCGGCCGGGGCGACGTCGGGCCGAAAAAATGTTTCGGCCGGGCGTCGCACCGGCTGCAAAAAATTTTCGGCCCGGCGGCGCACCGGCCGCAAAATTTTTTTCGGCCCGCCCGGTTTTTGCATGTAATTTAATTTAATATGTTAATTAATTAGTCAATAAAAAATTACTTAATTAGTTAATAGAAATTAGCAATTAGTGTTAATATTTATTTAAATTGGTGTATAAATGTTTTTTTTTGTAATAGGTGTATGAATGTTTAATTACTTACATTAGTTAATAGAAAATTAATTAATTAAGAATTGATTTAACAATTAATGTTAATATTCAGTACATTAGTTAATAGAAAATTAATGTTAGTAGTACCTTAGTTAATAGAAATTTAATTAATTAGTGCGCATCTAAGTATGATATTGTGTAAATTTGTAGATAATTAGATATGGATGATGCGAGTGGGAGTGAGTTGCATAGATTCAATGGTAGGATTGTTGATGCATCAACACGAAGGAAGGTGCCTAAGAAGAATAAGGAGAAGAAGCGCTCTCGAGATATTGGACATCAGTCAGAGGCAAATTTAGGGGAGGATGAATTAGAGGCTCCTACTGTAGTTGCTCGTTCGGCATCACGGGCGTCTGGTTCCCATGGGAGGAACCAGGGTGCTGCATCGAGAGTGGTCTCGGCTGAGTTTGATGAGGACGATACTGATGAGGATATCGAGGTCCCTCCACCTACGCGTGGACATGGACGAGTGACGTCTTGTACGACAACATCACGTCCTGCTATGTATAGAGACCGAGTTGGGCAGTTCGTACCACCTGCTCGTGAGGAGACAGAGAGCTCGGGGACTGGACGGAGTAGGGGAGGACGTTCGAGTGGTCCTCCACCGTGGGAGCTTGTTGGTGAGTGTCCTGGTGGACCTACGGATCCTAGCCTCATTAGGAGCTTCCGTGGCCACGCTTCCTAATGTGCTTTGGATGGGGCTTGGAGATCGAGGGGTCATCAGTTGCTACAGCCGTACATTGGCGGTTGATTATCTGGGTAGCTACGTGTTTAGTCATGTTGAGGCGGAGGATCTGGTTCAGCAGTCAGGTCTCCAGCACCTGATCTACTCTATGTTCCGCAAGATAGCGATTGACGAGGCTTTGATCTCAGCTTTTGTGGAGAGGTGGCAGCCAGACACGAACACCTTCCACTTGCCTTTTGGAGAGATGACGATCCTCCTCCACGATGTTCAGTACTTACTGCAGATTCCTGTTGAGGGACGACTGATGAGTAGGACTTCTGTGCAGCTTGACCATCCGGAGGTGGGTTTGTGTGCGCTTCTTGGGATGAACTCGGAGCAGTTGAGTGGTCGTTCGGAGGCCCCTGGATATGGTAATAGGGGTAAGTGGTACGAGAATGGTGGTTTTCTTGCGGAGATGGCGTCCAGATACTTGCAGGTGAACGGGACACATGTGACAGAGGCGCAGTCGTACTTGTTGTTGCTGTCGGGGTCCACTTTGTTTGTGGACAAGAGTAGAGACAGGGTTCGGCCGGTGGTGAACCTATTTTTGGACGAGTTGTAGGAGATAGATCAGTATAGTTGGGTGTCAGGTACACTTGCTTGGTTGTACAGATACTTTGGTCAGGCGTCTCGTGCTGGTGCCACGGGGTGGCTGGTTGTCTCACACTTCTGCAGTGTTGGATCTACGAGTACTTTCCGGGTTTCAGGCCATCTCACTTTGAGCCACCTGTCGTTGGACCTGATGAGGTTTGGGCTTCACGATGGATTGGGCAGCCGGCACCTGGTTCTGTGGCTAATCCCAGTGTGAGGTTGACATTCTACCGTCGAGCTCTTGACAGTTTGACCCCTTCTGATGTGTTTTGGACACCTTTCCATCAGAGGCCTCATCAGGCAGTGCGTCGCTCTTTGTACACTGGAGTGATCCGGTTCGCTGATATAGGCGAGTTCTATGATCCAGAACATAGTGCAGTGATAAGAACATGGTTGGTTGCAAAGTACCTGGGTCCGCATCAATAGGCAATACAGTATAGGCATCATCATAGCGGTTGGGTAGTGGACGCACTACAAGAAAAACAAGTTTTAGCGGCTAATAATGGAGGCACTTTTTGTATCTGCCCCTAAAACTTAGTGTTTAGCTGCAATTAATTTATTTGCCTCTAAATAAAATTTCATTTGCCTCTAATTGTTCTTTTTTCATTTGAAAAATATGTACGTTGTTGGATAAGAAGCAACTTATTTAAAAATTAACATTTAAAGACCCATGATATAGCCGGTAAAAAGTATTATGATTAGAGGCAAATACAATTGCCACAAATAACTAAACTACACACTTATTATAACAAAAGAAAAAAAGGAAATGATAATTTATTAACCTAACAGAGGTTTTTTCGGTAATTAAAAAAGTGGAAAGCATAATAGCTATTTTCATCCTTTGTGTTCACATCGTCATTCCATCTGCCCCAACTCTATACAGTTCTTGTATTCTCGAGAGTTCGCCGCCGAGCCTTTCCCTCAACATGTTTCTTTCTTTCTCAACAATACGATTATGTTTCACCTCCATTAAAGGCCTCTTGTGTTTGTTCCTCTTTTCTGATTCTTGTATAACTTCTTCTATAAACTACACACCCGAAAATACTCCTCGTCGTCTTCTTCGTGTCCTTTGTAATCAAATCGACGGAATCACCAATCCAATTGCATTTTCCCCCCAATTTTAGGGTTCTTGTTGCTCCAGTCACCGTCAGCCTTCCTCATTCTCTCATAGTTTCATTAGATCTCGAGGATTGGAATTTCTTTCAGGGTGCAATTAGGGTTTCTCGACGACAATGTTCAAGGGTTCTGAAGAGAGCGCGCGAGATCAAGGTTTTGATGACGCATTAAAAGATGTGAGTGTTGAGTTACGCTATTGGCAGTATGATCCTCTCAAACCTTATTCTTGTACAATTATTTCTTTGCCTTGGTTTTCAATTAAAAGATCCATGGCTTCATGGTGACCTCTTACGATTCTTGTTCTTATGCAGTCATATCTTTTCATATGGCTTGTTTGGCCCCATAAGCTCAAGGTACTTGTTGATGGTCGTTCGGTTGGCAGGACTACACGATTCACATGACTAAGGAACTGGATATTCTGTAAGTCATCCTCTTCCAAAGTCTTTGTAAATGACATAAATTTGTTTGCATCACATGATAAGGGTTATGTTAATGGGCATTATTAATTGACAACCCCACTTGTGCATGTCCTTGGCGTTTACATAGTGCTATCACATGGTGACGTGGTGTGTGTGTGTATATATATATATATATATATATATATATATATATATATATATATATATATGTTCATGTACAACTGGTCCAGTTTGCTACCTATCATTACCTTTGTGACATTTGTCTAGGTTCGATTGATCTCTGCTAAAGCCCGTAGGAAGTTCATGCTAGCGGCAGTCGTAAAGGATGTCAGCAGGAGAATGACGAGAACAACTACACTACTTGTTGGACTGCACTGTGGTATGACCACTAAAAATATGTATGGCAAAGTAATATTTCCTCTCATTTATAGTTTGATGTTTCTTGTGTGGATTGTTGGGGTGTTGAATTGGTTGCAGGAGGCTCCTGATCTCTTACACCCATGCTTGCTTTACATTTGTTGTCAGGTGGATGGATTTGCAGCAGCAGGCTTTTGTGGAACTTGCAGGTCTAGTGGTCTACATATTTGCTTTTATGGGCATGTGCAATTTTGCAGTAGGGGCCTTCTGTTTTTTCAGCTCTTCTGTATTAAGGGCAGTCTCTGTTTGTTCGTTTCCAGGGAGAGTTGGGGTTGGTTGAAATGAAATAGGGGCAGTCTTGTGCTTGCCTACCTCGTACCTTATGAGATTAGGCTTGCTTGTTTGTTCTTTCCTTGTGATCACGTTCCTTTCCCATGTTTGTTCTGTTTCTCTTTTGCATTAATAGTGGGCAACATCATCATTCATCAAAATATTTCCACTCATTTATATTTGTCATCCGTCATATTTAGCTATCCATTCTACTTATGTGTGACATTGTCTTTCATAGCGTCAAGTTTTTTGAAATCATTAGCTGAATACAGCTACTTTAGACGACTCAATAAAAGAGTTTGATAGCTTTGCATATTGGAGATAAATCACTAAAGCATAAGAGTACAATGTTGGTGACATGGAAGCCAGGTCTATTTGAGAAATTTGGCCACAGGATCGGTAGCTTTCACTCATTTGCATACAGAAACGCAATTTGATACTTAGCAAGTCTCCTACATTTGTGAACTCTATTATGTAAATAGTTTATGTTATTATTTACCAGTTGAGACTTTTTATCTCATCAATAATCCCATTGTATATGGTACTTGTTTAAATGCCAACAGGAATGAACTTTTTATCTATGTTTGCCTTTTTCTCAATTATTTTAGTTCAGCTAAGATTGAAATTAAATATTTAGTTCATAAAAAATTTAAATATTATGTAAATGCGAGTATGAAAATTAGATGCAATGGTATTTAGAGGCTAATGAAACTAATTTTAGAGGCTTACTTATATGCCTTCAATGCTCTCAATCAACGACAAATATAATAGTCAGAGAAAGGATGTTTGCTGGAAAATAATTAGCCTCTAAAACCCACCATTAACGACTGATTATATGCTTTAAATATACATATTAGCAGCACAAATATATTACTTTTGGGGGCACATTTATCTACCTTTATAAATCCAATTTGTGGCACACATACATACGCCGCTATATTCTGCCGCCAAAAGCAATTGCCGGCAGCAGCATTCGTAGCACACAATTGTGTGCCTCCAAAGGGCTTCAGCGGCGCATACAAGGCTTAAGCAGGCAAATGTTCACAGCTGCTATATTATGTTTCTCTGGTAGTGACGGTTTGCATTATTGACATCAAACACCTGGTATGTGAAGACCATGACTGCGATGTTGTAGATGGTGGCAAACACGAACAAGTCCTCAGAATCCATCAATCGCCTCGGTGGTGCGGAACCCACCTCGAGCCAATTGATGCAGTCAATGTGAGCTAGTGGACCACCATTATACAAGTTCTCGTACTTCCCGAAATGTTGTTGGATTTCTTGGACAATCGTCGATTTTATGAGCAGATAGTGACTATCATCCCCATAAATACAATGAGAAAGTGCCCTAAAACCACAATGGCCGTCTGGACTTGGGTTGAAATCCCCTACCAGCAAAGGTCGAACAAACTCTGGAAAAATCTCATCGATGTAAGGGTATTAATATTGCCCTGGGGGCTCTGGGATGAGTAATCTACAAAAATATACCAAACAGTCAAAATTACTTGGACAAAATATACAAACATAAACCAATTACTACTAGATGGACTATAATATTCAACCAATTACTCACCTGTATCATGGTCGTCGGATTCACCTCCACTCGATCGCCCCCTGCTTCCACTCGATCGGGATCTGGCTCCACTCGATCGCCCCCTGCCTCCACTCGAACCAGGCCCAGTACTCCTCGAACGAGACCTCTCATAATATGAACGAATGCGACTGGTGCTTGTTCGAGGCCTTTTGCAAACAGATATGGTACCCACGTTGTTCAGCTCCGTGAAGCGCAAACTGTATCGCATCCATTTCACCCATCTCATCCAATCTTGTCTTGTAATTTCTGTTGTACATCTGTTTGATATCATGATTCACACCCCCTTCACTATTGAGTGTCGTCTTCTGCTGATTTGGTCTCACCCCCGCCTTCCTCATTAATCTTAACCTCTCTTTTTCAGCCTCAATAAACTGTTTGTTGTGTCGGTGATGTTCTGGATACAACACCTTTTCATGGTTGTGAAACCCTCTATTAGCTCCGGTTACACGACTTGTCACTCCCACTATGACCCATGTGTTTGGACCATTCTCTTGCCATACTTCCTTAATACATATCTGAAACTGGCAACCAGTATCCTTCGAACTAATATTCCCACGCGTCTCCTTCGTAGGGTCTGGTTTATAAGACTTAACGATCCTACTGCTTCTGTCGCAATACATACAGAGGGCAGTAACAGGATGTAGTCCAGCAGTATTCGGTTTCCATGCTCCACTAACAATAAAGAACCCACACTCCTGAGCGATTGCTTTTGCAGCTAACTCATCTACCTTCACACTTGCATAATGGATCCCATTCTCAAATTCATGTGTGTAATCATGATCAGCCGGTAACCACTCTGACATTTTTCCTACAATTACAATATAACACATCAATATTCCTGTGAACCTAAACGCTAATTTCAAGTCTTAACCGCTAAATTCAACTCCTAAACTCTACATTCAACTCTAAATTTCCGTCGCACTAGGTTCCGGCCGCCGGATATTTTCGGCCCACCGTCTGTTCGTTGCAAATCGTCGGAAATTTTCTCCATCAAGTGGTTGATGAATATTTTTATGATATAGAGTTCTTTCTCTCTAGCGGGTAATAGATTTCTAATTTTATTAACATATACGTAGTTGGAACTTGTAATAAGGAAAAAGAGCCATTTGAAAACCAGGGGTTGATTACCCCATGGGTCGCCGGTCCTAGATTCCATAAGATGTTTTGTGACTGCGGAGGACAACGAGAACCTAGTGCGAGCAGTGGACAAGGAGGAGGTGGTGGTGGCTTTAAGGAAAAATGGGAAGAAGGAAGCTGCCAGGTTCAGATGGGATGTCGGTTGCCTTTTTTTGCGCATACTGGGACACGGTAGGGGACGAAGTCTGCATGGCTGTGAAGAATATTATTGAGAATGTAGGAATGCCATCGGACCTGAATCATAATCTCTTAACTTTGATCCCGAAAGTGAAGAAACCAACAAGTCCGAATGAATACCGCCCCATCAGTCTGTGCAATGTTCTATATAAGTTGGTGGTCAAAGTTTTAGCAAACAGACTGAAGAGGGTGCTGGATAAAGTGATATCTATGGAACAAAGTGCCTTTGTTTCAGGCAGATTTATTTCAGATAATATTATGGCGGCTTTCAAGTGTTTTCATTCATTGAAGAATAAAGGAAAAAAGGGAACATGATTCTTAACAGCTAAGATGGATATGGCCAAAGCATATGACAGGGTGGGGTGGCATTTCCTGGAGGGTGTAATGCGGAAAATGGGTTTTGATGAGCGCGGGATCCGGGTGATCATGCTTTGTGTTCGGACGGTCACCTTCTCTGTCTTGGTGAACGGCCACAATCGTCTCGATTCCAGCCTAGTCGGGGATTGCGACAGGGGGACACATTATCTCCATATCTCTTTCTAATCTGTGCAAAGGGTCTATGCGCGTATACTGCGAAAGCAGTGCAGGAGAAACGTATTCATGGGATTCAAGCGGCCCGTGGAGCCCCTGTGGTATCCCGCCTGTTCATATGATCATAAGTTCATAAAAATTAAAAATACTTGAGTCTTAACATAACAAGTAACAACAAGCAATTAGTGCCTATTTTTTTTCCCAAGGCAAGCCTAGAGGGCGTGGGACAAAGAATCGACTTAGTTACATAGAAGACTCCAAAAAAGGTGGTAATCCGTAAGAAAGCTGATTCTCGATGAAAGAGCCTGTTTAGCCACTACATGGGCAGCTCTGTTAAAGCTCTAAGGAGCAAAATGACACAACACTGAATAAAAAAACGAGAAAAATGAGTGAACTTCCTCCAAGACAGCCCATGCTCGAGAGTGAGAAGCGTTCTTTTCCGTAGCATGTTTGATAACCAGTTAAACATCTCCACAAAATGAAAACACCAAAATATTATGTGTTACGCACCATCTCATAGCATCTTTAAGAGCTAGAATCTCGACGATGTAAGCCTCCAAAATTCCTTCATAACATTTACCAAAAGCAGAGGATAACGTACCATCTCTTGAGAATCCAGCAAATCCGATTCAGCCTCCTTGGTTTTTCCTTCATGGCTCAATCAAATCTGACCAAGATACTAGTATTAGGACATGTGGCATCTGAATTACTCCTTTGAGATCCAGGTGGATTGCTACGATGCGTCGATGATCTCTGTACACTTATGGATTGCCAAGATTTTTATCCCTCCATCGTTCGCCATTCCTCTATTTGGTCTGTTAGTTGTCAAAACAAAACTCTGGCTTGAAATGATACAAAAGCATAAGTAGCTTTGCATCTTCCTTTCCAAATTCGCCAAAATAGAAAAACCGTATCGGCAATCTCGATCTTGGATATGTGAGTAGTGCATAATAGATTTTTCCATGCTAGATCTGGTTGGGAGGGGCACATTGAATTTCTACGATGTTCCAATCCAACCATAATCCATAACTCCTTTGCAATCCTACATTCAAAAAAGCAAAATGTCCTCGGTTGGCTCACAACAAACCAGACACTAGTAGGCAATTTTTGAATTGGCAGTATTCTGCGAAAACGGAGGAACCCGCGAACTACCCTCCAAAGGAAGAATTTCAGTTTTGTTGGGACTGGTGTATAATGTATATTCCATAAGGATTTCAATT